CTCTTCGGCAAGAGGAAGGGTGGGCGTTACAAGGCGGCCCGCCCCACCTCGTCCCCGCTCCGTCCCGAACGCGGGCTCTCACCTCTGTCCGAGTCGGAGCGCTCTGAAGAAATGGTGGATCCGATACTGTCCATCCTCGTCCTCTCCATCCCCAGCTTCTCCAGCTGCCTCTTCAGGTGCCGCTGCTCCCGCTGCAGCTGCTCTATTTGGTGTACAGCTTTCCTGTCGTAGTCCTCGAGCTTCTGCGGAGGACGGGAGAGAAAGCGGCCTGAATCCCCCCGTCTCCACCCCCAGGCGCTCGGCACCGCTCCAGGGGGCCCAAGACATGGGAACGCAGCTGCCGCCAACTGCCGAGGGACCCCCAACACGCTCAGGGCACATCGGGATGCGGTTCCCGTCCCACTGCGAGCTGACGGACACTGAAGTGGGATGCAGCCACCAACCCAGGGATGAGGGGTCCGGGCCTGCCCCACAGCCACGGGAGAAGGCGCTGAAGGATGCTGCTGCCTCCAAAAAACTTACCCACACAGCTACACCGGAGCTGGTCCCAGCCTGCTCCTATGGGAAAATCACGGGGATTCGCCGCACTGACGTGAGAAGGGCAACGCTGACCCATGACAGGGCAAGGGGTGACAGGTTTGAACGGAAGGAGGGAGATGGAGATGGGACATCAGGAAGGAATTCTTCCCACAGAGGGTGGGAGCACTGGGACAGGTTGCCCAGAGAAGCTGTGGATGCCCCATCCCTGGGAGTGTCCAAGGCCAGGCTGGATGAGGCTTGGAGCAACCTGGTCTAGTGGAAGGTGTCCCTGCCCATGGCAGGGGGTGGCACTGGGGGGGCTTTAAGGCCCCTTCCAGCCCAAACCGCTCGGTGATTGTGTGACAGCAGTGACCTCCATCACTGTTTCCAACCCAACGTCCTGGCCCAGCCTTACCTTCGTCCTGCCTGAGGATCTGGAGGCCCCGGACGCCCTGTGCCCCGTACGGCAGCGCTGCTCTCGAGGCCGAGCGGGCACCCACCCGACGGGACAGACCCCGGTTTATTGCGGCACCGAAGGAGCTCCCGCTCACCTTGATGTGCAGTTTGGCTTTCGTGAGCAGGCTCAGGGTGGTGTGTTTGCTGGTGTCGGGTCCGAGCGGCACCAGCCCCTTCAGCTTCTCCAAGCACAGCCGGAGGTGGGCGCGCCTGTAGGAACGTCACACAACACACTGAGCACTCGGGCACCCACTTCCCAAACCCCGTTCCACCCCGGGAGCGTGGATAACCAGGGCGGTTGGCAGCTAAGCCCAACCAGATGCCTTCCCGCCCTCCTGCCTCCACTGGGAGAAAGCTCCAAAAACCCCGACCTCCGGCTTCGGCCAGCGCCGCCGACAGAACCGGGCTGTCGGGATGTTGCTGAGCTTGCCAAAGACCTCGGCTTTTTGGGTGAGGGCATCCGCTTTTGGTCTTTCTCCTCCCAAAAAGCTTCCCTGCGGGGCCGCTGGTCGGTCACCGCCTCGCTCCGCTGACATCCGCAGCAGTCCGGGCGGATGCAGGCAGCTGCAGACCCGGCACATCCTTGGGCAGTGCTTCATCCCTCTGTTTTTAGGAGGAATGGGCCGGTTCCGGATCCATCACCTCAGCAGACGCAGCTCCGGTCAAAACCAAACCAGGTCCCCGAGGGAACGCCGGCCCTGAGCCACGCCACGCTCCTTGGCCTCCCCGACGCCGGAGTCTGCCAGGAATCCCCCTTCCCAAATTTCCTCTGCATCCCTACGTAGACTGGTGCTTCCCGCCTGCACAC